ATAATAATAATAATAATAATAATAATAATAATAATAATAATAATAATATATTAAATTTATATGCCGCCCGACTCCCATGACTCTGGACGGTTTACAATTGTTAAAACACTTAAGAACAAAGGAAAATAGAAAAAAACACAAAACAGCACGAGACAAAAGAACAACAATGGCAAAGAAAATAATCCATTACCAAATCCAATAGCTTTCTGTATTCAGAAGACCTAAGTGATGCCTCAGCAGAAAGGACTCTTTTAAACCTCTTGAAGTTTCTTAACTTTGGTGTGTCCACGTTACCTTCTCCAGGTAGTAATTCCTTTGTAAGTTCAGACTGAGGTGTTGCTCTGCCTCCAACATGTGATATGGCTCTTCCAAGAATTACTTCCCTGGTTTACTAGACTCAGTGCCTACGCAGGTCTGACAATGTAGGAGAAGATCCTTTTAGTAATAAGGATTTAATAAGGATCCTTTAATAAGGATCTCCTTATTAAAAGGATCCTCTTAATCCTTTCTGAAAAGATGCTATCAAATTCCTCCTGGTTTTTGGTACCAAGTTTTGAGTTAACCACCTTAGCCTTAACAGACATGATATTTCTATTGCATGTTTTCCCAAAAAGGTGACACTTCTTAGGCTTGATAACTGAGCCTACTTTGTGCACTGCTGATAAACAGTGACCTTAAATGTGAGACATGACCATCAAGACTGCTGTTGAGTATTCCAGTATGCAAGTGCCTGAGACCTCATTCCACTTAGGAGAGCAGGCACCAAACTTTGAAAGGAAGCTGGTGAGTGCCTGAGATGTAGACCCAGAAATGCCTATAGCCCATCTGGAGTAGCAATGCAATTGTTGAAACAGAATCAGAATCCAATCCAATCCAAAATCCCTTATATAAATCAAGAGTAAAAATTATTTTAGCAGACCCCAACATCTCAAGTGGATGGAATAGGCATCTGTTTGGATAATGGAAATGAATCTTCAGGAAACCACATAAAATCTTAAGGTCTGGTGAGATTTAGGCATGAGCTGCACAGGTGAAGGATTTAAGAGATGTCTTTAAATCTTTACATTCAGCATTTTTTGGTAATCATTTTATTAAACATTACAATTAAAAAGATAAAAAACTAATACAAACTAAAAAGAAGAAGAAAAATAGTGTAGAAAGGAAAGAAAAAATAATATACAAAAGACAAAAAAAAGAAATATATAAAGAAATGACTTCCCCCTTCATCACAAGTATTAACAATTAACAATTAACTTATCACCTCCTTTTAAAATACAGGAAATGATCTCTTCTTCCCATATCCCATCACTTATCTATAAACAAATCCTCAACGCCTCATAATTTCAGTCCTGATCAGCAAAAGTCCATTAAGGGTTACCAGAGATAACAACTCACCTATTTTAACCTTGATTTAATAAACCAATTTTATATTCCTTCCTTTACTTTTAACAATCTTGATCTTTAATCTCTTCAAATAATGTCACAGAACTTTATTTTTTTTTCATTTTTTCTTTGTCCCTTCTCCCAAAATCCTTCAAAGCTTTAACAGGTCTCTTTTGTAAATCCAGTACAAGAATATTATCCCAGTCGCTCTTTTGGTTTGTTATTTGTATATCCCTTTTAATTTCATTTGTATATCCAGTATATCTTTTCCCATCATTCTTGTAGCCTGTCATTTTTAAATATACTTTCAAATCAGTCTGAGTCTTGTCCAGTAAAACCTGTTCCTCTTCCATAACATATTTTAAGCACAGTCTATCTATAATGGCAGACATTTTTAAAATTAACTTCTGAGTCCATTGTTCACAAATATCGTCCAATGTTAAAATATTTTGCTCCATTCTGTATTAGTAAGTCAAATTTAAGTGTTCTTC